CGTTTCGTTTCGTTTCGTTTCGCAAAATAGTATAAGCCAAGATGTTCCGTATTATATCTTAGTAAACGAAAAATTGCAAAATATCTTAGCCGAAAATAAATTTCATGCCAAAGAGGTACTATTGATGCCCAAATGAAATCGGCTATCGTATTTTAAAAGAGCACAGATTAATAAGATTCTCCTTTTCAGCTATAGCTAGCATTTTCCCCTTAAAGCCAGCTTTAGCAATTTTTTTTTTTAATTTTTTTTACTTGCCCGTTCCGTTTGATTTAAAACATGAACTTTCGTCCAGATTTTTATTCAAATACTTCGCTCTGATTTATCATCTGTCAAGATTGACTCCGACTCTGCTGTGGTCATTAATCATTTTGCTCCTTTCGAGATCAGGTTTTTGGGAAACAATGCTTACCTGCTTCAGACTGATTGTGGGTATGTCCCTATTTACTGTCACATGACCAACTCTGGCATGGGCGCATGTGGAGGAGGTGGATGGACGCTGGTCATGAAGATTGACGGCCAAAAGGTAGGTCCTTTGTAAAGCTCAGTAAGAAGGAGGAAACTGTGTTTGCTGCCGCCCAGATTCATTTATCGTAGGGAGGCTGCTTAACTCAGGAAATTAAAATTCATCATATTTTACTGAACATAAAAGTTCAAAATCCATGATTGCGCCCATCAATCTGCAAAACTCTGAGCAAAAGAAATAAAAAGAAAAGGGAAATTAAAATCCGATAATGGCGATACATGAAGTTGACATTTTTTATCCAAAGAAGTGTCCGAGCGAGTCTGAAACAGTATTTGTCGACTACAAAACTGTTTTTGCGCGACGAACTTAATTTCTTTTGTTTTGTTATCACAGCGGACTTTTCACTACGACTCACAATACTGGAGCAACAAGGAAAGCCACAATTTAGAAGGAGGAATGACTGGATTTGACAGACAAGAGACCAAACTGCCAACCTACTGGAACACACCCTTCTCCAAGATCTGTCTCGGAATGAAGGTCGGCCTCCAACCTGTCAGATTCATTGTCATGAACACCCACGCCAATTCCTTGCATTCATTGATTGCCAACGGAGGATATCATAACACTTCGTACGGGCCTGACAAGTGGAAGGCATTGATTGGCCCCGAAGCCTCATTGCAGAGGACCTGTTACAAGGAGGGTTTTAATGTTCAACCTGATTCTTCTACCTCCAAGGCTAGAATTGGCATAGTTGGTGGCCAACAATGCTATTCATGGTATATGACTTCCAGAGTTGGTTTTGGTACTGGAGGTCGGCCTGATGATAGCAGCTCGTGTGGCAACGAGGATCAGCGCGGCGGTAAACATCTAAAAGCGATGGGGTACATCTTTGTTCAGTGACATGTCGACTTATAAACGCTCGATCCTTTTAGCACTGTTTAAAACTGGTTAAAATTTAATGAAGCAAACTGTTCGATTGAAGATTTACACCGAAGGGAAATTCTGAGATGTATCTATAATGATAAATTAAAATAAACGATGAATGAATGAATAATCAAATAACTAAAACAAATCAAATGCGTTGTTTGATTTAGTATCTGTTTTCTATCTTTTGAGTGTAGATTTGTGGAAATTTTTTGGCAAAAACTGATCACTTAAGGTATCACTTCCTATGTGCTGGTGGGTTCTTTCATTAGCTTTAAAGTGATGAGATAGCACGAGGAAATCAAAATTTCGCTGTTTTCGAAAAGTTTTCGAATGAAAAAACGCAAAACGTTCATAACCAAGATACTAATATTTGAGGCTCTCTTTGGTAAGAAAGGAAACATCTTACAAAAATGAATACAAAAACCACTCGAAACTGAAAATAATCTAAAGTCATCTCTTCCTCGACTGGAATATCGCAAGAAAAAGGTTTCACGATGTCATTACGAGGTCTATTTAATTTCATAACCTCCATTTCAACTCCACTTTCGATAAAGGCACAAACCATTTAGATTACATGGTTTGGGATTTCTGGACATCGGAGAAGTTCTCAGAAACCCATAGCTTTTACAGTTCTAAGCAAAATTAGCCCGTTTGATGATCAAGAGCCGCAAACACCAGAAAGTACTGTACAGTTGTGTGACATGTCCATAAGACACTTGCGTTACTGTGCGTGAAAATGCACTAATACCGGGAAAGCCTGGAAACTATTATATAGCACATTGACAATAATTACGAAGAAACGTACATCACCCTAACTTTACAAACAAGGCTGAATGGCTCTTTCTAGAAAATACCAGGTTAAAAGTACGACCCACTATTGATGAAGCTGTAGTTTTCAATATCTCTCGCCACTAAAGTAATCGAGTTCAGCCATGAGACTATCAAACTAAATGATCAGGACACGAAAAAGTCATAGTGTGATGGAGAACTGGAAGTACTTTGCCATCTTTATCGTCCTCGTGCTCAGCTTCACACCCTGTTCTGCCTCAAAAAACCCATGTTGGTGGGTGCTAGATGCAGTGAATAAAGAAAATCCTGTAGAGCCGACGCCTGTTGTTATTCCAGGTGGACAGTATTTGTTGAGGATTCGAATTAGGTGCGACAACATGGTGAGAATCTTGATCTTCAATCTATTGGTTAATTCTTGAAAAACTTCTCTTGTTTTCTTTTAAACCGCGATGACACCCCTCGAAATGTCATTTTGATAGAATTAAGCTAAGAATACATAAATAATTCTAAGGGAGACTTAATAGATGTATTTTCAATGCCCCGAGGGCGCCATCATCACCAGGTTAGGATCGACTCTACAAAACGTCCTGAACATGGAAGGAAATCGTAATGCATTAACTCCATTCATCATTTTTGACACTCTTTCTGGGAGAAGCTAGAGGTGAAAGAAAAAATAATTTCTCCATGTAAGTGGACCCTGATATTTTATCGGATTGGAATTTTTTTCCTTATTTTTTTTACTGAATTTTAGCCCCACAATTGATTATTGAAGCAACTAGAGGAATCAACATAGTAATAATCACTTGATTCATTAAACTTTTAATCCCTTGGAGTGACTGGCTTCTAATTTCTCCATACATTACCCCTTTTGAATCAAATGCAAAGCTCAGGAGAATAAAGGAAATAATCACTGATATAAGAATACCTTGATTGTTAAACAAATTCTCCTTGTCAGTCCTTTGGAAATGTATCAGGAGCAGTGTGGAGGAAATGAATACTGATGTTAAGGGTGTAAAGAGTTGTGGCAAAATGGATTAAGCGATCATATTGGATTAAATTATTCCTCTTTTTCTTTATTGTACTCTAGTGAGTATTTCACTAAGGAAGGAAATCAAATTTCTTACTTAATTAATTTAATTTCTTACTTAATTAGTGTTAGTGCTATTTTTGGTTTGCATTAATTTTTTCCTCCATACAGATTGACTCCAAGATGGTGAGGTCATTGATAATGACAGGTGTCAATCCCACTGTTCGCATTGAAACAGAACCATTTGGCCCCAGCCAGCATAAAGCCAGGAGATTTTCATTCTTGTTATCATCATTGTTGGTAGAAATGGGGGAACAAGATACTTGTGGATGTTACTTCATCAATAGAACCAAAAACAACGACAGGTGCCTCCCAAACTACATGTAATAATACTACTTATTCATTATTATCTTCATTACTTTTTTAAATAAATCTTCCACCCAGGAATGAAAATTCAAGGGCTGCAGGTACAGCTGTCAATAACTTCTAGAGCAGCTATTAAAGTTACTTTGGAGATATAACCCATAGCAGTGCAATACATGGCCAAGTGCATGGTGACAGCAAGCAAGGCAAGATAAAGTGAGCTCAGCCCTGACAGGTGTTATGGGTTACAGTCCTTACTGGCAGTCTTGGCACAGATAGTGGTAACCTGAATATTTTCAAATTCCACATGAGGCTCTTATGGTTAAGACTAAGGCCCAATTTCAAAAGTATGATTTAGGGGCTTGTTTTCACCTCGGAAGTGTGTTTATCATGATACCTCTGGCTGCTCAGAGAAAAAGAGAATTCAGAGAGAATGTGTATTAAGAAACAACCCAATAATGTATATTTTTTTCTTTAATTTTTGTACATTTACCCTGTTGATTGATTTTAGAGCTTACTTGCCTGCTAGATCAATTGACAGATTGACTAAATAAGTTTAATTATTGACTTGTGTTGCTGCATTCAGAACATACAAAGGTCTCAAATTGAGATCACTGTGTCTAAAGGATCAAATATCTGTTATTCTGCCTGGAAGGTTGAAAATACAGTTAATAATGAAGACAAAAAAGAGAATCAAAGTATGAAGTGCTGTAGACTGGCTTATTGTGGCAGTCTGGCAGCACTTATTTACATAAGCCATAAATAACTGCTACATTGCATTCCAGGTTAAGCCAATGCAGTTGTGATGGTGCTCTGCCCAGTTGTTTGTACTCAAAGGATGTTCAGCTAGTAGAAGCTGGAGTTGAATGCTGCAAAGTTGAAACTAACTGTTCAAGTTTCATAGAACTGTGTAACCCAGCCTGGCTAGTTCCTCTTCACATCCCTGACATGGTACTAACTATGCACTGTGAGGTTGTCTACAATGGCATAGGACCATACTTAGAATCTCACAGGTGGGGAGATAGTTTTACTGCTAAATAATTTCTTAATCAACTGCTGTTTTATTACCAACGTGACCAGCTATCTTTTTTTTCTATGGAAACAAAAGGAAGAATTTCCATAATTTTTAAAAAAGTTTAATCCCTAAGTGGATTTGGAACACCAATAAGGGCAACTCTTCATTTTTTTGGAACACCAATACAGCTGCTATGATATCAAGTGAAAACACTCTTAGCTAAAGACACATCTATGGGCTGGAATTCTTTTTAAATTGGGCTCTTGGTTTTTTTGGTCATTTGTTTACAACTTACTAAATAAATTACTTTAATCTGGTTACCTCTCAATGACCCTTGTTTGGTGGCTAAGCTTGAAGGGCCTTTTGCAGGAGCTACTGCCAACTGACTTGAACTAAAACTAATTTTTCTATTTTCATACTCAACTAAAAACAACTTGAATTTATATGAACTGCTGTCCTCTCAGCCTCTTCAAAAGGTAAAGGTTTTTTTGATCATATTTAACCTTTTCATAAGTACCTAGCAGTTACTTTCTTTCCTTCCATTTTCTCTCTTCTTTATCAGATGGGGATATTAGGAATATTTTAAATTCTCCAAGAAATTGAAGTTGGCAGTTATCTTATATCTCACACTAGGCTAACTGTACATCTGGATGGATTTCACTACCTTGTCAACAACACAAGACTCCGCAACAGTCTTGGAGAGGAGGCACAGCTACCATCAATTTCCCAGCAAATGCCAATCAACTGTGTCCCACACCTGAGTCCCATTTGTGTCACTGGATCCATAGAAATGTCCAACCATGTCATCTATACAGCTTCTGAATTTGATAAAATGACATTTTTAAAGATCAAAGTGAGTGTAAACTTAAAACACTTTAATACTCTTCAATTCACTTACAGTTATAACAGTGCCTGATTTTCATAACAATGTGAGATGTTTCATCTAGGCAATTTTATGAAAAAAAAGTTTGTTATAATTGTACAAAGTGCAGTTTGAATTAAAATAAGCTGAGATAATTACATACATTAAGATTCTGATTTACAAATTATTCAAGATTAACCCTTTAACTCCCAGAAAGGGTTCACATTCGATTTCTCCCTCCAATATCCATACATTATCCAGCAAGCAGGTAATAAGAATACTCAGACCATCCAGGTTTAAGTCGTTATCTTGATCTAACACCAAATTCTTGTAGCTATTTTACAGGGAAATGTGTAGTAGATAGAGGGGAGAATTAGCAATCAGATCCTTGGGAGTTAGAGGGTTAATATAAAAGTCACAAGGTATAAACAGAGTCAATGTAACCAAATTTGTTCCGTGAAAAGCATTTAAATTAAGAAGAATTTTGCAACAAGATTTTTCCTTTGCACTGCATATTGTGGACTGTAGTAAGGCTTACATGGCAGAAATGAATTTTGCTTCATTGATGTCAGGAACATATTAACCTTCAGGTTTTCTTTTTGTTTCTGGTGATAGAGGAGATAAGTTCTGAGTCCATTTTATTGTATCTCTCATTAGTTTGGAGACACATTCAATAATAGATGTGTATCAAGACAGTCTGAGAAGCTGCTGAAGATTAAGGGAGCACTGTCACTTCCAGACAGAGTTCTTGTGAATACTGGTGTAAGAATTAATATTTTTTATTTTTTAATATTTTTTTTATAGTAAAAGTATAGCAACTAATATTATATGACAAGTATATTGCTATAAAGAGGTCATGATCTAAAAACCAGCCATTTCTATGATAAAAGAGCCATATGTACTCTCTCATTTGCAGATGAAAGATGAAATTTATACATTGTTTAGGTAATTGTACTTAATTAAAATGAAATTTTAGGGCAAAAGAGGGGTAAGGAATAAGATATTACTGATTTTTCATTCAAAGGCTGGCATATTTGAGCGGCAAGCAAATCACCAAAA